GCTCCAGTGGAAAAGTAACCACGGGATCCATGTAAAAGTTTGATTTTCCTGTAGACACATGCCTGAAAACATACCACGTTAGGTTTAGGACTCCTCCCTGGAATTTCGTGGACTGATAGTCACGTAAGCTCTACTACCTCATGTAAGTCTCCCACAGGGCAGCGGTATCCTTTCTGTTGCTACAGGCAGTGGTGTCCTTTCAAGTCACCTTGCTCTTAGATCAGTATACACACTCATTTCTGCACCTTCAGAAGATCAGATCTGTGTTGTGACAGTCTTGACTCTCCTGATCCTTATGGCCTTCCCTAGTCCCCCTGGAAAGGGAGGTATTACTTCACTAGTGTATTCAGTCAACAACACATGAACTTGTCTGGGGAAGGACAGCACCTACAAGACAAAGGGACACCAACCGTGAGCTTGCAGCAACAACAGAGAGAGTCAGAGCCCCACCCCCAGCCTCCAGTCTTTGTGAGCTCTGAGATCATTCCTAAAGTTCCCCCAGAAGGCACTGTTTTTGGTATTGTTTGTACTGGGTTAATTTAGTCCTTGTTGCACTCTTCAGCGTGGGGTGCTGTCCTTGGTGCTGACTCCAGCCTAAAGGCCATTGTGTCCCTTCAGGCACTGTCCTGATCTGTGTGGTACTGTCCATGGTCCTGGCCTCTGTGTGCAGTGCTTTCCTCGCTGCTGCACCACTAGTGTACACTTACCCAGTTCTCTAGCAACCTGTTCAAACTGAGGCTCAGACTTCATGGATACTTATGATGAGTCCTGTCCTAACCCAGCTGTGATGATAGTGCTTAAAATCAGATCGGGCCCAACAAATGTCTTTGCCTGCCCAAGATCATGCTGTAGGACCTGGATTTATAGATTCTGAGCAGTCTGGTAGACCTCCAGGGTTCGGAGAGTCTGAAATCCATCACTGTGTTACAGAAACAACACTAGGAATTACCAATCAGGCAACAATTTCCCTCATAAACATACTGTGTGGTGATTATAGATTGTGGAGTAGCAAAACAGACACCTTCTGCCAAGCTTAAGCTCACACTCTACTGGGGACATGATCAAACCTGTGAAAAAGTAATGGAAAATATGAAAAATGCAATAAGACTGTACCCAGAGTGTGCTTAGCCTCAACTGTTTCCCTAGTTTCTGCAAAGAGGAGATTGGAGAGATTGCAGAGTGCAGGAGGCAGCCCCAGAGGCGCATTTGAAGTGTCGTATGCTGAGGTAGGAGCTGACTTCAGTGAGAGACACTGTGAGGGCCATTCTTGACTGACAAGCCACTGTGCATATGTGGTTATGAAGAATGCATCATGCAGCATAAAGAAGGGAGAGCAGTATAAACATGGAATGAGAGTATAGGCCAGACAGACCACCAAGGTCAGGGCACACTGAGACCTTACCCAGTGAGGTGACATTGTACTACCTGTGATGTAACTGTATCCCCTGCATTGTGACATTGTACTACCTGTGATGTAACTGTAGAATCACCTTGTAGAAGGGAACAAGTGAGGATACTTCATACCTACATCGCTTAGGCATCTTTCCAATGATATATCTACCAAAAGAACATTCTGTATGTCTCAGCAAAAAAAAACAAAATTCAGCCTAGATCAGAAGGCAAATATGATTTGGAAGAGCAATAAATATAGAAATTGGTTAAAGAAATTATAGTGATATAATTGAGTGTTGATTATAATAAAGAAATAATTTTTCCTTTGATTCACAAGGAATGTAAGCCACTGTGGCTGCAACAGCAAATCTCATGGAGAAAAGGGGAGGGGCCACTTCAGAGCACAAACTTTGGGTGGAGGTGACCATAGCCAGGGGCAGATTGGAGGGCAGAGCATCTTGCGGAGCTTTGGTCTTAGTTCATGTGTGTAATGTGGTTTGGTAAATGCTCATAGAACTGATTGCTTCGCTTTCATTTTAAAGCAAAAGTAAAGGCCACTACAGAGAGGGAAAAGCTACAGTGTGCTCAGGCAGCACCAAGGACAGCGGACCCGGGGCTGCACTTGATCTGTGTCCACGTGACTTTTGAGCGGTTCTGATTAGACATTAACTGCTGAGGTATCACTGTTCTCAGAGGAGCTGACGGCTCTCTAGTCACCAGTACTGTGGTTTTCCAGATGCCAGAAGAGGGAATTCAAAGGAGCCACATCTTGTAGCTATAGAGGAAGAGTGATTCTGCTATAAACCGCAGCTGGGAAGGAAGGGGAGAGTGGGCGGGACGGTATGAGGGCAGGAGCAATGGGCGTGGCTCCAAGTGAGGATGAAGAGGTAAGACAACCTTCCTGGCAGCATCCCACGAATAGATAGAGCTGCTCAAACATACTCCTCCTCTGCCTTGGGATTTCCAACCCCTCCAGCTCTCCTTTGTGTGTCAGTAAAGACTCAGAGCTGACGGCTTTCATTAGTAGAGATAGACTCCCATTTGCCTTCTTGTGCCTTCACTGCTTTCCCGGGGAGATCAATGGTCCCAGCAGCTATGCTGACAGACACAGCACTCTCTGCACTGCCTGGAGGTAATGGACTGTAGAGACGAATGACAGCTAGCCACACCAAGTGTCACCCATCTCACCCTGGCCCTACGCCTACACAAAAGGTCTGGCACCTACTTTTGAAAGAGTAAACATCACAGCAAACTGTATTCTACAAAAGGATATGGAAAATTAGAACCAAGCATTATGATAGGTGATCTGGTCACCTTTACTTACAGATGAGGAAACCGGGGCCCAGGGTCATAGCTTCTCATCTTTCCTGGTTGTGCCCGGCTGTGCACACGTGCAGCTTAGAAGCCCATGTGTAGAGTCAGCGTGCAGTTTCCAACCAGAGGAGCGTCTCTGTGACACGCTCCACTTCCGTGCAGTTGTTTTTCACATGTGAGTCTTCCCGTGCTTCACTTCCATGTTACTTCCTACATCCATCCCAGTAATTAAGTGAACAATGACATTTCTAAGTTCTGTTTAACATTCTTATTAAGAAAGATTTAGTGGTTAAAAGCCTCCAAAAAAATACTCTGTGAAAAAAAAAAGATCAAATGTTGATGTTGCGCGATAGGATTAGTATACATAGAAGCATATCTCCATCTGCCCTGGATTCTAGCGGGGAATGGTGTAGTAATTAATCAACTGTGCGAATCAAATTAACAGAAGAAGCAGAATTCTGGCAACATCCTGAACACTTAGCCTCCAGAGACTGAGATGTATTGATGGCAGAGGAACTAAGCAAAGGTTTCACGGCTTGTTGTGTTTAACTATCTTAAAAGCATATCTTCCCTGTGTTCTTTTCTTCAGTCATGATCACTGTTGGTTTAAAATAAAATGTTAGTTGTGGATTTTAGAATAGAATCCTAGTCACTCTGTGCAAGACTAATGGAGATATGCATTTGTGTTTGCCAAGTACGTGAGAGTCACTTTAACATAGCGTAAACGAAAATCAAGAGTTGAAGAGGATTGGTGGGAAATATTGAGGAGTGTGGGAGAAAAGATCCTTTTTTGTTGTTGTTGTTGTTGTTGTTTGGGTTTTCGAGACAGGGTTTCTCTGTGTAGCCCTGGCTGTCCTGGAACTCACTCTGTAGACCAGGCTGGCCTCGAACTCAGAAATCCACCTGTCTCTGCCTCCCAAGTGCTGGGATTAAAGGCGTGCGCCACCACCGCCCGGCTGGGAGAAAAGATCCTTATGTGCTTTGTATATCTAAAAACCACAGCAAGAGGTTCAGACTTTTCAAACCAGCAGTTCTATTTCCAAGAAGGTATCAGAAGAAACTGAATGGCCAAGCATGCCAGAGGCTTCACAGCGAGGGTGGCATCATGATTCAGATGTAAAATACAGGTCCATGTGTCTGCACACTTGATTCTTGTCCGATGTTCTGGGGCCCTGCGGAAGCTTTAAGATGCTGGGCTAGATAGAGACCGTAAATCTCTGGGCCACAGGCCTTGACGTTTGGAGCCTGGCTTCTCTTTGCATCCTGTTCGTGGTTCTTGCTCCGTGACAATGTGTAAGCAGCCTTACTTTCCTGCTTCTACAACCGTGAGCTACTCTTGTGCCTGCCCAGCCTTTATGGACTGTACCTCTTCACTGTGAGCCAAAATAAAGACTTCTTGCTTAAGACACCTGTCAGATGCCTGAGCACAGAAGTGAAGAAAATGGCTACTGCAGATGTCCATAGCTACCATTCATAACAGTGACCGTTCAGAGCCGCCACCCACATGCAGGATTTAGGGTAAAAGATAAGTAACAGTTTGTTCATAGAATATTTTATACTATTAAGGGTATGCTGGCGAAAATCCTACATACTGTGCTGCATTATTTTATGATATTATGCTCATTTTTAAATGCTCATATAATACATGTGAGTTGTGTTTTGTGTGATGTTAGAAGGATATTATGTGTGTCTGTATAATATGTGTATTTCTGTGTCTGTGTATCTGCATGTTCCTGTGACTTAGAGTGCCTGTGTGCACGTGGGTCTGAAAGGGTGTGCATGTCTGTGTCTGTAAATGGTCATGTGTATAGATTTGTGGGCATCTGTTCTAAGTGTAAGGAGAACATGCCCACCCTCTCTGTACATGTTACAGACATGGAGACAATTAAGGAGGAACCAGATACAAAAATGTTGGAAGATTCGTGTTACAACAAATCGTATGTTATATGCAGTTTATATTTTCCGTTTCATATTCATGAATTAGTTATATCTTATCTCACCTTACAAAAGCTCACAGGTTTACATTTTGACTGACTTACTGTGAATTTAAGTAATCGTAGGTGGCTCAGTCGTCATGACCGGTCATATAGCCGACTTGCTTTCCTGACAAAATACTTGGCTTTTTGATTTCAGTGTTTATGACAGTGATTTGGTTTTATTGAGTTACTTGATTTCTTGTCTTCACTGAATTTTATTGGAGAAACAACGCTAATGTAATCAGGACAAATAACTGTCTGCTTGTATTATGTAATATTTACTACTGTTTGCCGTGCCCCTGCCCCTTTTCTTTACAGATGGTGACATTAAGATCCAGCCTGAACGTCGACTCTACACTGTAAGTCTGCCTCCTCAAGGGTATATTCCTTGTTTGCCCGAACCGTCCAGCTGTGCGGATTCCGAAAATGCCCCCAGCGATGGTGACACAGAAGGTAAAAAGCCTCTGCAGAAGGAAAATGGAACCTGTTTTCATCATTATTTTCTGTATTACACCATTTTTCAGTCTTGTAAATTAGCTTTTAAACTCATAATTTGATGGGTGTGGTTAAGCATGGCATTGTATAACCAATCATATACTGGGATGATATTTCACAGCCATTAAAAATTATTACAGTCTCAAAATGACAGAGGAGAACTTGGGACGGGACTTACGGGCCTGGATAAGGTTATGAGCACATTTGTCAATGTATGAGCGGTCTGGACTAGAGTACCGCAGTGCTCCACAGTGCTGACACTGGTCTCGCTTTAGTGGAACTTGAGCTATGATTTTCTAAGTTTTTCAAATTCTTTAAAAATTATAAAATCAAGGAGTTAACATTTTTATCTCTCTTGAGAAAAGATTCGCCTATTATAATGGTGTTTATTGTTGAATGACTTCTTGAAAGAGAGTATGATATTTAGTGCAGCTCATTATTGAGTAGAAGTGTTAATGTTTCCAAATGTTACGTGTCTGCCTTAAAATTGAAATGGTTGGTTTTCCCTTTGAATAGTCAACTTGAAAACTTTTTAAAGAGGAAGTTATAATCTTTAAATAAGGATTCCCTCATCCTAGGATGATTCCTATCAGGAATAAATTAAGAAAGTCTATATCCTAAATCTTAGTTAATTTGACTGTCAAGAAATTGTGTTTCTTATAACACATTCATCTTTCTGGTTTCCTAATTAAAAATCAGAACCACTTAGGAGCTGGAATAACTTAGGAATCACATAGTTATTATTTCAAACTCTGTCGAAAGTCTTTGAAATATTATCAGATGAGTAATTTATTTAAGAAATTTAAATGTGTGCTTATGAAGACTGATTATTTTGGTGAATATATGTCATTGTGTGCCAGGAGCCAACACTGACAGTCAGGTCCTGAGGTGGGAAAAAGCCTAAAAAGAAGGCCAGAGATTGAGGGACCTCTGACCTTGTAAGTCTCTCCTACTGTTCTGGAGGCCAGAAGCAGCTGACTTGGTAATTTCACAGAAAGGAAAAGAAAGGAAGTCAGGTACACGCGCACACACTCACACACACTGGTTGGGCCCAACCATTTGTTCTATCAATTTCACAAGTGTACATGCAGACTTATACACACACACCTACATACATATGTGTACACATACACATGTACACAGGCATGTATACATACAGACATATTGTACATACATATAGATGAACAGACATACACACACACACACATACACACACATTTGGTAGATGGAGCAGAGTACCAAAAGCCACACTTTATTTCTTCTCTCAGCCATTTTATACCTTCTTAGACAATTCTTTATAAAATTACCTCATAGATAAAATGATACACAAAAGGGAAGTTACAGAAGGATGTCGATAGTAAGTTTAAAGCAGTGTTTCATCCTATAAGCTCATCATAAGTTCATAGCAACAGTTTCACATGGCCTTACTTTATCATAGTGCACACTTGCTGTAGCCTTTCCTGGGTGGCTTCTGTCAATTGTGAACTTAATGTGTTTCATCAGAAAGGGTTCATTCGTGCGCTGTTATGTGCCGTTGGTTCTCACTTACGCACCTCTGTATACAGTTCATTCGCTTGCATGCCTCCACAGAGGTATTTTATTCTGGGTAATCGACCCAGATGCTGTTCTTGCAGTAGGCTATCCTGTGCTTTTATACCCCGTTGACACTTATTCACATGCCAGGGTATCAACTCGGCTCTGATTCTCCCGCTGCTGTGTGCCAGGCTCTCACAGGCCATCACACGCATTAGTCCTCATTTGCATATCACAGAGTCAGCTCCCACCCCCTCCCTGCGTACACGCAATACTCACGTGTCACATCTGTATAAAGTTTGCCATTGTTTGCAACGCTGAGGTCAGTTGTCGCTCGCTCGTGAGGTTTCACAGGCATTTGGTTCTCACATACAGCTGTTACATAGCGGTGTTCACACATGTACCGCCAAATGTGGTGTTCGTGCGTGTGCCACTATATGTAGCCACTGGTACATAGCAGGGTTCATGCGTATGCTGCTATATGTAGTCACTGTTAGATAACAGTGTCCACACATGTACCGCTGTATGTAGTCAGTGTTACATAATGGTGTTCATGCATGTACCGTTACATGTAGTCGCTGGTGCACATGGTTACTTACTCTTGTCCTACTGTTGGCTCCATTGCCGATGTGCTTGCGAGCAACCAAATACAAAGAACTGTGTTAGTTAAAAAAGCCTCACTTTGGCTGGAGAGATGGCTCAGTGGTTAAGAGCACTCACTGCTGTTCCAGAGGTCCTGAGTTCAATTCCCAGCAACTTCATGGTGGTTCACGATCATCTATAATGGGATCTGGCGCCCTCTTCTGGCGTGTAGCTATTCGTGAAGATAGAGCTTTCATATACATAAAATAAATAAGTAAATCTTTAAAAAAAGAAAAAGAGAGAGAGGGGGAAGGAGGGAGGGAGAGAGGAAGGAAGGAAGGAAGGAAGGAAGGAAGGAAGGAAGGAAGGAAGGAAGGAAGAAAGAAAGAAAGAAAGCTTGCTTGCTTCACTTTGCTGTAAACATGCAGTCTGTGCTTCCTAACTGTGCTAGGTGAAACTCTTTCAGGAATTAGAAACCCATCAGCACCATGTTGGCAAAGACATTGTTTTCCTAAGGTTTCTCTGTGTGGTTAGGTGTCCCTGGGCTCTTGAGTAGTTATCCTCTTCCTGTGGCCTACAGCTATGGCCACCTCCTCCAGGCAGGCTTCTGGGAACTCTTGTGGCCTAGTGAAAACAGAGCTGAATTGAGTTCTGAAGTCCAGGCATTGGAATTCGGTCTATTGGAACTGCAGCGGCAATTGGACAGGCTCAATGGTATGCTTACTGTGGCTTTGAATTGTTACCAGAAGTTACACTTTTAGTTGATTGTTCGTCAAAGTGTTTCTACTATGTATTTTCTTCCCTGCTCCCTGGCTCCTGGGAGGTAAATATGTCATCTTTGTTGTAAATCAGAAGTGTGTGTGTTGACCATACCTGCCCTGGAACAAGTCAGCCAGGAACCTGGGCTTTAGGGCAAACCAGTACCCTCTAAGCCCCAAACTTGACTATCTTTTTTGAGAGAGTCTTGCCTTTTCACCCAAGCTGATGTCAGACTCACAATCTACTCTCCTCAAACTCCCTTGTACTAGGATCTGAGGGGTACACTACCATGCCCAGACCTCTGACAGTTCTCTGGTGGGGTCTCCACTTCCCTGACCTAAATGTGCCTCTGTCTTGACACCTGGGCCTGCCTGCAGAGGATCTGCCAGAGACCAGCCTGCTACTGTGTGCTTCCCACATGGGACCCTGCTGGAGGTCTGTTAGCCTGTTCATGAGTCAACATAAGCTAAAAACATCTCTTCAGTTTCTCAGGGTGTCTCTGAACAGCTTGTAGATATAATTCAGCTTGGAAGTTGATATCTCAGCATTGAATGCTTATAACTTAAACCCAAATGTTTTGATTTTTTTTCTATCAGCTTATATAAGTATGTTTTTTATTATAAATTCCACACAATAAGCATTTAATGACATTTGAAATGATAGGGTTAGAGAAAATGTAAGAATCCCCACTGTTTGCTCATGTTGACTGTGTCTGTTCTCCATAAAACAAGAATATTACGAGTCCTGGCCTGCATTGTACCAGGCTGGGGTGAGATTGAGCAAATCCTGCACCCAGAAAATGAATTCAGTTAATAAGTATAGAATCCTCAGTATTCATCAGGTAGTGGGCTGTGCATTGGGGACAAAGGATGAAGGGCCAAGCCCCAGCCTAGTGGAGCACAGGCCTGACAGACCTGAAGATGCGCCAGTGTAGTGAGTAACTAAAGAATTCCATTAGTGTTCCAGGGGCACAATGACATGGGAAGTATAAGGGTTCCAGGCATGGATTTCTTACGTTAACCACCAGACTTGCTGCCCTTTCCTGGGACTGCAGGACTTCTACAAGTCGGGAGGAGTCCCCAGCTAGTAGATGCAGAGCCTAGAACCCTCAGCTCTTTCTGGTATAAGGCATAGAGACATCTGAGAGGAGCAAAGGGGAGTTTCTAGACTCTCTCAATTGTCATTTTAAGCAAAAAACAAACAAACAAACAAAACAAAAACAAAAAAATAAACACATGGAAGTTGAGAATGGAAAGAGGTGGGGTTGTTCTTGCTGTTTATAGAAGCCATTTCAGTCATTGTCTTTGATTTTGATTTAGTAGGACTGACTGACTGACTGACTGGACTGACTGACTGACTAGACCTACTGACTGACTGACTGGACTGACTGACTGACTAGACTGACTGACTGACTGACTGACTAGACTGACTGACTGACTGACTAGACTGACTGACCTGACCTGACTGACTGACGGACTGACCAACCAACTGGCAGTAACTTGTAGACAGCTAGAGATGGGATCAACGTTGACTACTGCTGTGTACCAGTCCCTCACCAACTGCTTCCCACATGTCTGCACTCTGGGTTCTGCCCATCCCTGTAGTGTACATGGAAGCTAAGACCAACTGCTCAGCAGCACCCCCACCCCACCGACATAGCAGCAAGTCTGGTGTTTACATCTGTCTGGAATCCTTGAGTCTCCCGTGCCCCTAGGACTCTGAGTTCTTCTGCTGGGCCACAGTAAGCAGCACTGAACGCAGTACCGCATCTCCAGATCTGTCGGCCCTGTGCTCCATCATGTTTAACCCCTTGTCCCTAATGTATGGCCTACCACCTTATGAGTCGTGGGGATTCCATTCCTTTGTTCTAAGGCTTGTGTGTGTGTGCAGTGAAGACAGGCTGTGGGACCGAGACCCACACACAGTCATCCAGCTCACTCCATTGTTGGGGTAATCTCTGGGTATAACAAATACAGACTTACGGCTACTTAGGAACAAATGGAAATAATAGGAATATGTGAGGGAAGGCACATTTGTAAAGCTGACGTTTTAAAAGTAAAACGGGGCCATTCCATGCACTCCCC